TGAAGAAAGCATAAAACCCACAACTGAGGGGTGATGGCAGCATTCCCTCTATCTTATTTTTCCGCACATCTGGTATTTAGAAGAATACTGCCTTGGAGGTCTACTATGATAATATTTTTGCACCATGATTCTTACTTTTTATCTTTGTTCCTTGTCATATTAAGATTGTTGGGTTTGTTTGTTTTTTAAGGTAAAAGCAGGCTCAGCGAACAAGCAAACATAAAAGCATATTTGTTAGAGGTACCTTGTGTGTCATACTGTGATCAAATAAACTCCAGTGTCTCTTTGCAAACATTTTAAATGCACGGAAGGTGCTGTTAGGTGGTTTGGTTATTAGAAGATTTTTATATGTGCAAATTTGGTGGTACTTGGAGATTACCATTTGAAGCTTATGATACTTATGATACTTGGTTTCTTACATACACGAAACCAGAGCACATAGTGTGTTGATCTTCTAGATCATTTTTCTGGTGGAGAATCAAAGCAGTGAATTTCAGTTCAGTTAATTTGCACTGTAAAAAGCTGATCCTAAGCAGATATTGAAATAAGTTGAAGATTCCTTTTCACTTACTAAGCATGCTGGGACAGTTATGAGTTATTTTAAGGTATAGGAAGTCCCTCCAATGTCTTCTTACCTCATAAACTGATCAGCCACTTCCTTCCCCCAAAACCCCTCTTTTTGAGGTTACCTTTCAGGTGTTACCTATTCAGGGTGTGCTGTTTGGGTTTTTTGTTTTGGTTTGGTTTTAGGGAGAATTCCTGGGTAGAATTCTTGGTTCTTCAGGTAGTGTCCTTTAAAACCCAATTAAAAACATGGCTGCTCCAGATGTTCTTGGACTACAACTCCCAGTAGCCTTCAGCACCACCTCTGTTGGCCAGGTTTTCTGGGAGTTGAAGTCCAAGAACATCTGGAGGCCCAAGGTTGGGGACCACTGCTCTATAGATCATATAAAGCAGATTGAGGAAGCTTCCTCCCTTGGGGCATTGTGGCAGGAAACTTAGAAGGCTAAACCTTGTCGAGGTGACTGAAGTTAAGGTATCTGTAGGTGTGTGTTTTCAGGCTGGTACTCCCAGAATTCTGCCCAGAGAATTCTTGGAAAATTCTGGGAGTGTCGCACCAAATGACAGGCCCATCAATGTGAATACAAAGAACTGCAAGATTCCACATTCGCCCCTGCCTCCAAGGCCATTTAGAATGCTGGGAAATCATGGCCCTACATTGTGCAGGAAGCCATTTAGGTATGAGTAGTTCCCAACATCAGAAGCTATATCTAAACTGATGAGGGTCTAGGAGGAGGTCTTTGAAATCACACTTGCTCTCTCATGTGGACTACAACTGCTATATCCCTCGTATTGCCCAGATAGATCCTAGATTCATCCGTAGTTTTAACTCTTTTCTCTTAATCTGATATTAGGATTCTCACTTAGTAATTTTCCATCTCCTGGGATGGGGCCCTTTTAGAAAAACATCTTTTCAAAGATGTTTTGTAGTGTGAAAGAGCAAGGGTGAAAAAGCACCATGACTTTAGGAGGACTTTATGTGTTCCTACCTGTCTCATTAAGATTGATTTTGTTAAGCTAACTGCAAATATCAAGGCATCCATTAATGCCCAATGGGAGTTCTTTGCCTCCCTTTGTGATCTTCTGTTTTGCTATGATCTTTACTTATGCTCTTTAAGGTCTTTTACACACACACACACACACACACACACACACACACACAATCCCAACCTTGGTCAAACATTGGTCACTGTCCTAAAGAATCCCTACATGGCACTACTTTCCACCCTGCGGTTTGGAATTAAGCACCTAATTAAACTTCATACACCTTTTGGTTTTGGCAATTATTCTGACTGACTGCCGCTCAGTCATAACATGTGCAAAGCAAATAATCACCACCTTGTTTGTCACAAGTTGTTCCTTGCAGACATGCGTCATTATGGCATACCTACTGGCCAACTAGAATATTGGTTCTGGAGCAGATGTTGGTGGGGTATAAGTTCAGTGATGAAAATGGAGAAAATGCCAGAGTAGGTGAATAATGAGATAGGATCTATGCTGAAACAGCTGAAGGTGGCATAACCCTAGAGGATAATTCATATGCTGAATCAGGAGCAGATGTCAATAGAGACAGCTTGTCTAAGTATTTAGATGCTGATTCAGGAGCGACCAGCATTGATAGGAGAGGCTTGTCAGATATCCTGTTTGTGAAGACCAGTGTTAACTGTGAAAGTGGTGGCTTGTTAGAGGGAGGTGACATTTTGCTGGAGGCAATAAGAACAGAAGAAACATCTTTCAAAAAATGACAACACAACAGTTTTTTTCCAGGTTCTATTGAGAAACCTTATCAGCAAACAACATTTCGCTTTTTAAAAATATCCTGCAAATACTTGAGACTTCATTGTGTGATCACATTGCCTACCCAGAATGCCAAAATGGCACAGGGAGGCTTTTGTAAAACATTTTGGGGTGGAGCCCAGCAGCCATCTCACTTAACCTGTTGATGGAACCTCTCCTATGGTGGCCGTAGTATGCTTTGTGGTGCAGTTTGAATATGTATCTGACAAAGCACTGGAGAAGATGCATAAAATATAAACTAGAGACAGTGTAGAATATGTCCCTCTGCATGCATAAAATAATATACAGTATCTTGAATGATATGTCAGGCTTGCCAACTATATGCTGTCTTTACGTCCTCCCATCATCAATAACATTTTAAGCAATGCTAATGAACTACAAATTTAACACTTAAAACAGTTTTTGAATGAGGCTGGGACCAGCATACACAAGCCTTTATATTTTACTTGTTGGATAACTGATGGAACAGTGCAGGTTCCCCTCTGCGTAACCATGCCTGTCCCCAACTTCAAGCATGTATGTGTGCATTATGGCTGGGGGGTGAGAAGAACTGCTGCCCAATATGTGAGGGTTGCAAAGTGAGGTGGGGACAAAACTAAATAAGGAAGAACCAGTGCAGGAGGAGTGGAATCCACAGTTGTACTAATTTTTACTTTTATTCTAGCCATACCAGCTGGTGCATCTTCACATGGCTTTGATTCTTGACTTTTACTAAATATATGTATCTGCCACTACAGTTATACCAGTTTCATGGCTTTATTCTAAGAAATCCTGGTATATGTGGTTTGGTGAGATGCTTAGAAGACATCAAATAATCTTGAAGGGGGAGAGACTAAAGAGTAAATCAGTTGAGTTCTGTAGTATAGACAGGTGATCAGAATACTTTGGAAATTATAATTCAAAGGAGTGAATGCAAGCTCTTTAGTACATGAGCAAATTATAAATCTGAGGAGTCCTGAGGTTGGAGCTAAGAGAGCTGAAGTTTTATGAAACTGATATAACTTTCTAAAGCAGATACATCTGATGTTCTAGTCTTTTGTAGAAGGAGAGGTAAGAGAAAATACCTGCATTCACTATTTTCAATTGTTCTGAAAGAACAGACCAGCTGTAGCCATGTTTAGCTAATGGCTAAAATTATATCAGTGGTGAACATTATATTTTTTGCCCTGAAGAAATTAAAATGTTCAGTGATGTACTAATGCCTGCACTACATTTGTGCACACACAGCATGTGGTCAGATCAAATGACATTGACTAAAATCTGTTTGCATAAGAGTATTCACACTGTGGCTTTTCCCTTCTGGCTTGCCTTCTGTTGCATGACTGATCATGTGACTGGGTGACCATGAAAGGCAAATATCAGTGAAGGTAGGCTGGCATGCATGGTACTTACACTACACAAATCCCACAAGATTCTGGCCATTACCATTTAAGGGCTAAAGTGGCAACCCTCAACAGTGAATACTAGAACAATCTAAACATATGTTCCAAGAAGGTGGCTTCTTCCATTTTTTAACTGTATTTCTCATTTTTCCTTCATTGATATAAGGGAGGAGACATTAAAATATGTATGTATGCATGCATGTATGCATGTATGCATGTATGTGTGTGTGTGTGTGTGTGTGTGTGTGTGTGAGAGAGAGAGAGAGAGAGAGAGAGAGATGAAGGGATAATGATCTCCTTTCAGCATCATTTTGTCTTTGAGGCTACCTTACACCCTGTACTTAACCACAAATAACCCCCTGTTGAACTCTGTGGCATAAGATTGCACTATTAAGGGAAGGTGAAATGAACATTGGAATGGAAAGAAGAAAGGACGGTTGGAAAGGAAAAAGATTGAGGGGACAAAGGGATAGGAGACATAAAAGGGTACAGCATCAGGTCAGGGATGAGGCCTATGGAATTTTTAATCAATGGGAAGAAGTAAGTAGCTGATGGGACAGCAGAAGGGAAGGACCTGTGTGAATAAATGCAGATAGGAGTGCCAAGGTTGGGATGGAGTTAATAGATTTTTAATCTGGCCCAAACTACATTTACTAAAAATCAGTAGTAGGGCCAGTACAGGTAAGAGAAAGCTCAGTGTGGCAATTACATTGGGATTTCACTCAGTAGACTTGTGCCAATCCCGAGACTCTTTTGAGAACAAGTCTAAACTATGGTTAAATGTTAAGTGCATGAACTGGCATAAGTGTCAGGCCCAAGCAATCCCTCTTTGCGTCTCTTTACAAAGAAGATTGGACGTTTTCACTTACACTTTTCACAAACCAGAACATCACAGGTAATTCTTACAGAAATCCGTGGAGTTCTGTGTAGAGTATGAAAACTTATACTTTATAAAAACGTCCTCAAAAGTAGTTTGATACCATTATAGTTACAGCTTTGCTCTCCTGACTCATTTAAATTGACAGAGTCTGGGGGAGGGAACACAGCTGCAGCAGAACTGCACACGTGCACATTTATCTGTTGAAACACCAGCGACAACTAGATGCACTAAACATATGTAAATACTGCCACTCATACAGTTAAAAAATTGATATGATCTTTATGTAGAGAAAGTGTGTGTGTTTGTTTATGGGTGAAAGAGACAGACTAGGATATGAATCTGCACATCCCCCACTCATGCATTGTTCTCTCTTTGTACAGGAAATGCCATAAGACCCATAGCGCTTCGTGCTGTTTCGGCAATTGCTGGTGCCCTTCCAGGATTTCCGATCCTAGCAACAGGAGGCATTGACTCAGCTGAAAGTGGCTTGCAATTTCTTCATAGTGGTGCAGCTGTTTTACAGGTATTTATTTACCATAATACCTTTCTCCTAGTACAGAGGACCCATGGTAGCATTCGAGTAATTAAAAAAAAAGTTATGGCTAAAATCACTTTACTTTTATTGAACTTATACCCTGCCCCTCTAGACAAAGTCTACTTGGGGCGGCTTACATGAGTAATAAAATACAATTAAATGACATTCATTAAAACCTGCTAACTAATATCTATATACATTCACAAGACGGGATAGTTAAGAGACAGAAAATGAGTTAATTGACTGGAGGGAAGGCCTGCCTAAAGAGCCAGGTTATTAAATGGCTTTTAAAAATGCCCAGCGAGGGAGCCAGACAGATTTCCGTTGGGAGAGTATTACACAGTGGTCCAAATTCCAGTGAAAGGGAATGGTTTAACTCACAGTAATTAATGATCAAGAATCCATACATGGATTCTTGATCATGCACTAAGTAATTCAACTGTTGTACTGTATAATAAGGAAGTGCAATGGGAACTCATCAATTAGCAGCACCCTGCCATTGTGAGTTACGCCATTTCTCCTGTGCTGGTATAATTATGCAACAGGATTTTGGCCAGGAAGTTGTAAAATTAATGCTCAGTTAAACATATTATTATATTACCATAGTAAGCATATTGAATAACCACATTTAATTTAAAATGGTTTAAAATCACAATATAAAAATATAAAAGTTATCCCTGCCCTTAAAAAATCTTTGCGAAGTGTATTTTACAATAAAAATAGAGTTTGCTTTCAAATGGAATGAGAGATGAGTCCAGAGTAGGTACATAGGTATCCTTTGCTCCCACCTCCATTTCTACAGGAGAACTATTCTGAAAAATAATGTGTGAATGTGGAAAGAAAAAAAAATCAGGAACTCAATACAATCAGTTGCATCTAGAATGAGGTTCCTTATGATCATGTTAAGGCAATTAACACCGAAAATGTGGTGGAAGCGCCATACAAGTGAGCTTCAGAGAAAGCTAAGGATGATTTGAGATCAGTCAGCTGAAGGAATGAGGCTGAGAATGTTTTGAATTGCCCAAATGGACCTCGGTAGAAATTAGAGCTGTATTGGCATCTTTTTCTTAGTGAATAGTGGGAAACAGCAGTGACTTGAAATGACTACTGATGAAAGTGCAAGAAGAAATTGAAAGACAAGTTTAACATAAAGGAAAAAATGTGACTGCAGAAGAATTATATAACTTAAATGTTAACAGGGAAGAAATCAAAATAATTGAAAATGGTTCAGTGATCAAGCCAAATAGAAACTGCAGAAGATGACTGAGACCTAGGAACACAGCTATGAAATAACTAGAAAAGATCCTTAAATGAAAGTATGTGTCACTGGAGATCAAAACCAAGATTATCCATGCTATAAGACTCACAGTTACCATGTATGGATGTGAAAATTTGCCAGCAAAAAAAGCGTATATTCATTTCAAGTGTGATGTTGGAGGAGAGCTTTGAGGTTGCCACACACTGTCAGAAAAACAAATAAGTGGGTTCTAGATCAAAGTAAGTCTGAACTCTCTCTAGAAGCAAACATGCTAAACCAAGGCTATCAAACTTTAGATACATCGTTACAAGCTGGACTGGAAAAAATAGTAATGCTGGGGAAAATCAAAGGCAGCAGGATATAGGAATATTCAATAAGAGATAGATTGACTCCATAAAAGAAGCTATAGTTTTTATTTTGGAAGATCTGAGTACGGTTATTGATAATAGGACATTTTGGAGGTCACTACTTCAAAGGGTCTCCATAAATCAGAAGCAACACAACAACAACAACAACAACAACACGACATTTTGGAGGTCACTACTTCAAAGGTTCTCCATAAATCAGAAGCAACAACAACAACAACAACAACAACAACAACAACAACAACAACAACAAGAAGAAGCACCTCCTACCCCAGTTCATAGACTCGTAGAATAGTGATGTTGGCTACTACCCCAGTTCATAGACTCGTAGAATAGTGATGTTGGAAGGGGCCTATAAGGCCATCAACTCCAACCCCCCACTCGATGCAGGAATACAAGTCTAAGTTTCTCTTGAATTCAACAATTTGGACCCTGCTCTGATTTGGTCCAGCTGATTGGAAGCCAGACTCACCTGATTTAGATCCTGAATAGAAACTTGGACAACTTAGTTTAAATTTTAGAATCTGACTCCTCACATTTGCCATTGATTTCTGTTAAGAAGCAGAAAAAGCTATAGCTTTTTTTTAATATTTGGTGATATGATAGCCCCTTCATATTAGATAAAGAGGTTGAAAGACCACACCCCCTAACGTACACATTTGAAGAGTGGCCCTGATAAACTGCAATATGTCCAGATTAAGAGAATGAAAATACTAAGGGGCTACGTCTTGTGAGAAAATGGTGAAGGAAAGGGCTGTGTTTAGCCTAGAGCGGATACTCTTGAGCTACAATTCCCAGAAATTCTGGCCAACACAGCTAGTGGTGAAGGCTTTTGAGAGTTTCAGTTCAAGAACATTTGGGGACCCAAGATTGGGAACCACTATATGGAGAAAAAATTTTAAGATGCAATGTGGTACTCATCTTAAAATGCGTAAAGTAAATTTGTTTTCAGAACTTCTAGGGCTTAGGGCCTAAACTGGTAGATTCAACTCCTATTCCAAAAGGATTTTAAATAAGTTTAGCAAGAACTTCCTGACTTCAGTAGCAATCGATTATGTTAGATGATGGTGAACTCTTGTTAGGATTTTTGGAGCATAGGTTGGATGGCCACCTATCAGATTGCTTTAGCAGTAGATTTCCTGCAGAGATGAAGGATTTGATTAGATGACCATTTTCTACCTTCCTTGATGCTCTGAATCTCAGATGGCTATAGAGAGTCACAATTTGGCTAAATTTGGAGCGACTTGCAGGTTACCCTAAATACTTGTGGTAAAAAAACTGATAGCACCTACAGTACTTCTTCATTCATGCTCTATTGACAGCTTCCTTTTATGATTCCAATTGGCTTAGATCAGTAGCTCCCAGTCTTGGATAACCCAGCTGTCATTGGACTGTCACTCCCAGAAACCTCAACTAGCACAGTTAATGGTGAAGGCTTCTGGGAAGTGCAGTCCAAGAAATCCTAGGTCACCCAAAGTTGGAAACCACTGTTTTAGATTGTCTATTTTTCAATGATAATACATGTTTTTGGTAAGATGAAGACATGAATATGTGGATATTATTAGGTGTCCCCATCTCCACACCAGTCATTCAGTTACTGGGTTATATTGAGAGACAGCAACTATCTATGGCTGAGAAAGGGATCTGAATTTAGGCCTTTTATCTGATATTCTGTACCACTCTGCCTCCCATACAATTGAATTTAGCAGATGTTAAGTTTATGTTACTATAATTCTATTGGTACTAGGAAATTTATATTGTGCTACAAAACCACTGAGAAATTTATATTGTACTACAAATGCACCTGTCTTAAATAAAAAATGACTCATGTTGTGTAAGACTTCAGTTCTAATCCTAGTGTCTGAAAGAAATGTTCTCTTTTTTGCCTTCCTTACTCTAAAGCAGCATTTGTTTCAGTGTAAAGGAAAAAGGGAAAAGTATGATCAACAAGGGAATGTTTCATTGATTTCATTTATGACTGCTAATTAGAAATGAACCTCAACCAAAAGAGTATATCACTCCCCACAATTTGTCACAGAGCCTCTGAAGATTTCTATTAAGATGTTGTATTAGCTGAAATATATTGCAGTGATCCTTCCAACTTGCTTAAGGACTTTGATTTGACTTCAGAGATGGATGTCTTGATTAGTTTATTAATATATTGTCAGGCACAAGGATTAGATAGGCAAATTGATTCATTGTTATGCCTCTTTTGAGAAGCTTGTCTCTGACGATAAAATGTTTAAGTCTGACAGAAAGGAACATCAAAGGAACCTAAATGATATGGAAGCACAGTGTACACAAATCTACAAATTAGTCTCTTGGGCTAAATCACTGTGTTCTTTTGTTTTTGTAAGATGTGGACAGAAATGTGAGAGGGGTTCAGTCCAGCTCTGGTGAAGGCTAAATTCAATACAGTATTAGTCCAAACTAGAACAGACCTATTAAAACAAATGAGACTTGTTAGTCACCATTTTTGTAGGTACCATTGGTTTCAATGAGTTCACACTTACTGAGGATTAACATTGAATCTAGCTCAGAGAGTTGAGCAGATCACTTAGTTCTCCCACTAATACCAACAGGATATAGGTGTCTAATTTTACCTGGACTTCAGGCTCGAATGTTTATACAAAACCCTCATTTTACAACCTTCAGAAGAAAAATACAGAGCTATCAAATGTCTTTGGCATAAAAGAGGCAATGGCACATTCTTCTCTTCCACTGCCAGGCACTCAGTAACTGATAATTTTGTAGACAAGAGGTTTCTAAATTGTCCCATCAGGACAAAATTCGATGACTCGGAGCTGGATCCATCTTCTCATTTCAAAAATAAAGATGCCTATTTACACATCCAGAGTTTTAAAAGGACTCTATGGCAAACCTTTCTGCACATAGTGTTAAGAAATAATAGTTTGAGTGAAAATTGAAAATTGTCCATGCTGTGTATTGGAGGCCTTCAAGAAAGTTCTCAAATGTGTTTTCCAGAACTTTCTACTGGGAGAGGTTTTCTAGGAAACTAATGGTTCTAACAGTTTCAACAGTTTCAACTTCCACCTTTAGTTTTATTTCATATACAATATTGGGGAAGAAGGTCCCTTTTATTTTTATCATTGGCTTTTGTTGGCCAGATCCATATTGCTGATTTAGATTTGCAAAAGGAAAATCATTAAAGTCTTGGCAGCAAATTGCCACCCATTCATAAGGTGCTAGTTGTGTTCCTATGTAATGCATTTATAGGACCATAGCCAGAAGTTCTTTAATAAGTGACAATTTGCTGCCAAGACACATGATTTCATGTGCATAAATCAGCAATAGGATTCTCACAGTTCATTCTTGCACATTTGTTCTTGTTTATTTTTGAGCCT